TATCAAAGGCTAAGTGATATATTTTTCATAGGAAATATTCATTAAAAAAAAAATTGATGATGGAAAGAAAAAAAGAATATTTTAAGTTATTTCTTGCCTGCTTTTCAATTTACGAAGTTTATATAAGTGATTGCATATCCATGCTCAACTAATATTCTATAATTTTCATCAATAGAGAAACTGACTAAATCTAATTATATCTTTATATAATTTCTATTGCAAATTGAACAAAAAAAATAGTTCCTTTCTTCATTTAATCTTAATTTTTGACCTTAAATAATGATACTCAAATAGGAATTATTTGAAAAACAAAGAATTATTAGAATTTCTCAAACATTATTAAAATAATTTTCCTATCAAAATTATATTAAATGAAATTTATTATTTAATTAGTTAAATGATTTAGTGAAAAAAATTTTGATCGCAAAGAATTCTAATTTGTTTCATTTGTTGTATGATTTTCATTTTATTAAGAATCTTTCAGTCTAAATGTGCCAATGAAACAGGATAAAAGGAATAGATTGCACAAATTCAGCCTTAGTTAAAACCATAGCGATGGAATTTTATACAATTAATAACCCTTCAATTGTATCTAACATATATGTGAACTAGATTAGAATAATTTCCAAGAAGCTCAAATCTACCATCTTTAGAAACATTTGTATAAATTACAAATAATTGGCTAGAAACCGAATTCATAAAAGGTTGAATTTTAATGTACCAAAATTAAAGAAAGGATATTTTCAATTTTTTATATTAAATTGAACTCAATAACTACTTTGAATTTACTTGTATACTTAAAATTAAAAGATTAGTAATAATTGCATACATCTCCATGCAATCCAATAAATTTCTATTTTAAATCTATGTTCTATATTTTATGTGATCTATAGGAAGAGCAAGGATAATAGGATTACTCTAAGTTTATAAAGTCCCATCCAGCTTACACTTAAAATCAGTATTATAGCTTTATTAGAAATGGGCCAGGATTAGATTGATTTTCACAAGACTTTAAATTATAGATGAGCTTTACGTTCTTGCGATATGCACTGATGGGTATAAATTTCAATAAGACTGTTTCATTTCATAATTGAATTAAATTAAATTGGTAGTATTAAAAGTAAAACAATGAGGAGGTCAGTGTCTAACTTGCTTTTTAGTCATATATTTAACAATTATTAAGCAAGAACATCTCGGCCGAATATATATTTAAGCCTCTTTACGTGACTTACAATTGTTAAAATTATAAGCACTTCAATAGTGAAACTTAGTTTGGTGGTAAATGAGGTTTATTTGAGGAATTGAATAATTGGTGTGTCTCTTAAAAATAAAATGCTTAACTCTATCTAAGTAGATGACACACATTAGTCTCTGAATTTGTCCTCTATAAATATTTTATTGAGTAAGTTAATAAAGGAAAAAGGATTAGTTCTTTTCCTAAAGAAACGCCTAACTTTAAATTTTCATATTCATTTGAAGGAAAATTAATTAAGAGACTTTCTTATGATTAAACTGAAGCCAAATATCAATAAATGTCTCTTTTATTCCCTTGGATTGATTAAGTTAGAGTACTTCTAATTAATGAGATTGGCACATCTTTATAAGCTATATTTTTATTATCCTTGTGGGCATTAAGTCTTTAATTAATTTTTGAGCATAACTTTCATGAGAAATTAAGAGGTATCAAAACTTGTGAAGATGGAATTGAAATTCTTTAAAGAGGAATAGGTTTACTAATTTT